CTGTAAATTAAACCCTATTATTGAAATATGTTCAGCTGCCTCCTGAACATTCTATTTGAATATTTAATTGACACCTCACAAGTAACAAATCCAAAACTGAACTCCTTGTTCCCTCTAACAAATCTACTTCATCCACAGTCTTTACTGTTCAGTTAATAGTAAATTCATCTCTCCATTTAGGCTCAAGATCTTGGGGTCATCCTTGATTCCTTTCTTTCTCTCTCACTCTATATCCATTTTATCAGCGAAGCCTTTTAACCTACCTTCAGAATATACATAGAGGCTAACCACTTCTCACTTCCTCCATTGTTACTATTCTGGTCCAAGCCATCTTCATTTCTTGCCTGAATGAATTGCCACAGCTTCCCAGTGGGTATTCCTGCTTCTGTCCTTCCTTCTCTATAGTCTTTTCTTAATATGACAGAATGATCCTTTTAAAATGAAAGTCAGTTCGTATTACTCCTTAGATTCCCATTATAATGACCTCTGAAACAGCAAGTGATCAGGTCCCTCTTTATCTCCCTGACCTCAACTCATATTCTCTTGATTATTCTGCTCCTGCTACATTGGGCTCTTTTCCTATTCTTCTAACATACCAGACATTTTCACCTCAGGGTCTCTATAGTGGCGATTTCCTCTGCTTGGATTGCTCTTCCTTTGAGTAGCTGCATGACTTAGTCCCTGACCTGAAATGTCACCTCAGTGAGCCTACTCTGACCACCCTACCTCAGCACGTCAATCATTTTTACTCTCTTCCCACAGGACTAACCACCTAACATTTACTTATGATTTTGTGTATTGTCTATTCTCTCCCATTAGATTGTTGGTATCTTAAAGGCACTGATAATCTAAGTGTTTAATAAATTGCACTTTGACAGCAGGACATTACTAGTACTCTTTAAGCCTCCCTCATTTTCTCTTTCATTCATGCCTCTCCCCAAGTCTGATGGTTTTTATTTTATTTTTTTTATAAAGATTTTATTTATTTGAGAGAGAGAATGAGAGAGAGCATGAGAGGGGGGAGGGTCAGAGGGAGAAGCAGACTCCCTGCAGAGCAGGGAGCCCGATGCAGGACTCGATCCAGGGACTCCAGGATCATGACCTGAGCTGAAGGCAGTCACTTAACCAACTGAGCCACCCAGGCGCCCAGTCTGATGTTTTTTAAAACTGTTTTTTTAAAAAATATGATTGGATATTATTCTCATACAAATAAAGATTTGTTGTAGAGCCTTAGTCTACATCAAGCTTTATTCTTCAGGTGAGGTTAGAGTAACAACATCCTTTTACCTTGTATTTTCAAGTACAGTCTTGAGCAGCCCACCAAGCCAGATGTACATTTGAACAGAAAGACTATTTGTTGAGTTTATGGAAATGTGTTTTAAATTGTTTCTACAGTCTTTGCTTGTGAATACAAATGTCACAGGATGACAGCCTTCACCATTTTACTAGATTCTTTATGATTTAGAAGGTGGTCATTTTATTCTATTGACAATATGGAGCACTTTGCAGGTGGATATCAAGGTTAATTATATTGAAGAGTGAAGCAGTACATTCTACTAACTTGCAGATCTTTCTGAGAAAAATTGAATTATTGCCATTAAAGTGTTATTACGTTAATAAATTGGTTAATAAAAGCAATTAAAACCTCCAAGTTTCTTATAACTTGCCATAACTGCTCTGCTTGAAAATAGTTATCACCGAATAGAAATATGAGGAAGATCAAATAACTATTGAAGTTTAAACAAAGGGAACTGCAAAGAAAACCTTCAAAGAACACTCTCCTAGTTGTTTGGTTTTTGGTGAACAGAATTCTTTGTTGTTCTAGAGACAGTAATATGGATAGTTTTAAAATATCATCCTTTGTTGAGTGCTTATTTTGTATCAGGTCTCATGCTTCATCTTTTTAGGCTCCCAGCAGTTCTGTAATGGCAGGTATTACAGTGTCATTTTTCTGAATATGTTTATTCAATCTCTCAGCCTCAGATTTCCTATCAGACTTCAAATATTGGGCCCTTTACCCTGCATGTTTGACCCCCCTCCCACAGCTTTTCTCTGACTTTTTATTTCATATTTGATATTCTGAATTTTCTCTGAAAAGCATCATATGCTCATTTTGACATTATGGCTTTAGGAGAATAATTTATTTAACGTTCAAAATAATACCATTTTGTGGCACAGCAAAAAATTATTCTATCATCAGTTTAGGCATAATCATTTTGGCAAATTCACAGCCTTTTTTCAAGCATTGGTTAGGTTGAACTTCTGAATAGCTCTGTGATATTTTAAAATTTTAAAATCAGTTGTCTACAATTAGTATTTCTTTTTCTTCACCTTAGGGCTTTAATAATGAATTTTTTTTTTCACCAAATAGTCCTCTTTAAAATTCTTAAAAACGGTATAGCAAATTTTGTTCCACCTAATGCCAATTTAGAGAATATTTACATTAAAAAATGTTTTATTGATTGAGAGAGCCCAAGTCAGGGCAGGGGCAGAGGGAGCCTGAGAGAGAGTATCTCAAGCCAACTCAGCACTGAGCACCTAGCCGTAAGCACCGACACAGGGCTCTATCTCAAGACCCTGGTCATGACCTGAGCCGAATCAAGAGTCTGACACATAACTGAATGAGACACCCAGGCGTCCTGATATTTCACCTTTTATATGAAAATTATGATGCTTCAGGATTTTTTTAACCTGCATATTCATTCATTTTCACTTGATATTTTAGCTGCCCCTGTGTGTCAGTGACACATCCCTAATTATTTTTCCCTTCTCCAACTAAAGAGGGTTTTTTTTTTTCCTTAAACCTCTGCAGCATTTAATCTCTTTTTGTATCTATTAAGGGAGACTTTGATAGAAAAAACATATACCCTGAGTTTTAAATGGAAAAAAAAAGTGAATTGTTACATGGGAGACATTTTAAACATGCTTAAGTTTTTTTTTTAAGATAGAAACTTTGAAGATAAATATGCCTTGTGCAGAAATTTTAACCAAGAAAGATTCAATGATCCTTAGTAATTGTCACCATATGTTAACAAATTTATATTTGCATAATTTATTTGTATATAAAGACTGATTAGTGTCTAGCTTTCTGTATATTTTCTAATATAATTTCCTTTTATAAGTTACATATCTCTGTGCAGTGGACTTTTCAGTATTAGTGTTCATTAGCCTCCTTAATGAAGATTTTTACAGTCAGCGTGGAAGAGGGCCAACTTTTTATTGTTTGTGCAGCAGCATAATTAACTATACAAGGTTTGTTTATTATAGCTGAGTACTAGAACAATGCTTCCAAGAGAAAAACATTCAGAGAAGATTAGTAAATAACATAGCAATGTGTGAGGCAGGCCAATGGTAACAATGCTTTCAATGGGTAGTTCTTGAATTTGTAAGCGCATGCTTACATTTTTCAGATAATAGGAACTAAAATGCCTCATTTAAAAAAAAAATTTTTTTTTTAAAGATTTTTATTTATTTGACACAGAGAAAGAGTGAGCACAAGCAGGGGGAGAGGCAGATGGAGAAGCACGCTCCTCGCTGAGCAGGGAGCCCGATGTGGGACTCGATCCCAGGACCCTAGGATCATGACCTGAGCCGAAGGCAGACTCTTAACCAACTGAGCCACCCAGGCGCCCCCAAAATGCCTAAGTTTAATTGCCATTTCTATTGCACTATTATAAGAAAATAACGGAGATTCCACTTGGAGAAATGATTGTATATGGATACTTTGGTTCTGAAAGACTTTGAGCTCTTTCGTACAACTAAATAATGTTAGCAAGGTAATGAAAATTTACTTTAAGGTACATTTTTTTTTGTTTCTGATTTTGCCGAATTAGACATAAAGAAAAATGATACATTTGAATAATTAATAATAGAATAAAAGAGAATAAAAATTTGCAGTAGGGCCAATACTGTGCAGGCTTTGTCCATTCCACATTTTCTGGGAAAGTCCTATTTCAGATACTACTCCTTGTTTTCCTTTTATATAAATAAATTTGTAAGTGAAAATACCCTTTGGACCTATTCATTGTGGTCTAGAAAAAGTGCTTACCCAGTGTTTCAGGCACTTTGGGGACACACAAAAAGGGGAGAAGATAGTGAAAATATGGAAATTACGTTAGTTTACATAGAAGTGGAGGGTCATAAATGAAAAGGAAAAAACCCAAAGACGATTTATTGTCTGGTAAAGGAGGATATGGATATGTAACTGATAAATAGGTTATACATTGTTTGAAAGAAGGTAAAAAGGAAATATTGTGTTCTCATATATGATAGACATTTTGCTGAATATTGTCATATTCTTATTTATTTAATCTTCACAACATCTGTTCCAGGTAGGTATCACCTTCATTGTACAGATGGGGAGACTGAACCTCAAAGAGTTTACATTGTTGAAGGTCACATAAAGCTAAACCTCAAACCCTAAATCCCTAAACTTTTTATTTTTATTTATTTTTAAAAATTTTATTTATTTGAGAGAGAGCGCACGAGCGGGGTGGAGGGGCAGAGGAAGAGGGAGAAGCAGACTCCCCTCTGAGAGGGAGCCTGACATGGGGCTCCATCCCAAGACCCTGAGATCATGACCTGATATGACCTGAGCCAAAAGCAACTGCTTAACTATGCCACCCATGCGCCCCTCCCTAAACCCTTTAAATCCCATTTTCTTTTTACTAAATCATAATAAATGACTAGAAAGCTTCGAAGGATATAATTTTTTGAAACTTGACTAAATTGGCACAGAGTATTGAATATCTTTAAATGCTACAACAAAAATTATCAAAAAAAAAAAAAAGTATTACAGGCCTTAGGTGTTTCTTAAATGTACCAATTCAGGTTAGCAGGGGACTCTTGATATTCATCATAATAACATGAATTATTTAAGTCATCAGAGTAATCAAGCAATTTTGTTTAGTAATTATGTATTACATTAGAAGGGGGTTTTACTGTTTTGTTTTGTTTTTTTTTAAGATTATTTATTTATTTATTTGAGAGAGAGAGAGCACATGAGAGGGGGGAGGGTCAGAGGGAGAAGCAGACTCCCTGCAGAGCAGGGAGCCCAATGCGGGACTCGAACCAGGGACTCCGGGATCATGACCTGAGCCGAAGGCAGTTGCTTAACCAACTGAGCCACCCAGGCGCCCGTGGGTTTTACTGTTTTAAAGGACACTTTCATATCTGTTATCTAAGCACCTTAAACCTTTCATTAGATCTACCATATAATTGGTTTTGTTCTGGGCACCTGGGTGGCTCAGTCGTTTAAACGGTTAAACGTCTGCCTTCAGCTCATGTCATGATCCCGGGGCTGGGATCGAGCCCCACATCAGGCTCCCTGTTACTTGGGAAGCCTGCTTCTCCCTCTCCCACTCCCCCTGCTTGTGTTCCTTCTCTCGCTGTGTCTCTCTCTGTCAAATAAATAAATAAAATCTTTAAAAAAAAATAATTGGTTTTGTTCTTTCTTGACCTTTCTAAAGTGAGGAAAAACCTTGCCTCTTTTAATTCAGGAACTGTCTTTGCATATTTACATAGGTACATCTTTCATTCTACTCCCCAACTGTTATATGCATGGTTGGGCGATTATAGTTAAATGAATGGATGAATGGATAAATAAAAGGCAGATTTCAAAAGGAGGAGCAAGAAGCTTCAGGTAAATGTCTACCCACAAGTTGTTGAAAATAGGCCATTAAGTCAATTTGGAGCATAGATTACCTGGTTATAATCAATTAAAATGGAACATTTTATTAAATGTTTTCTTCTTTTTAAGCCATAGTCTTCCCCAAGAATTACGTGAGAGTGCATAACAAAGCACCTGGATCATTGCCTGGCACTTACTAGGCATTGAGTCACTACTTATTTATTTATTTATTTATTTATGTTGTTTTGTTGTTGTTGTTTTGTTTTTTAAGAATTATTTATTTTTTTAAAGATTTTATGTATATGAGAGAGAGAGAAAGAGAAAGAGAGAACAGTGGGGGAAGGGCAGAGGGAGAAGGAGAAGGAGCCCGATGCGGGGCTGGATCCCGCGACTTGGGAATCATGACCTGAGCTGAAGGCCGACGCTTAACCAACTGAGCCACCCAGGTGCCCCGAGTCACTACTTATTAAGTGAAAAATAACCACAGAGGAGACCTTCTAGACTCTTTATTCTTTCTTCCTTTTTTCAAAAAGCCAGTTCCCAAAGAATATAAAAAGTAAAATAATTTATTTGCTGAAATATTATGAAACTTGACTGGCTTTGTATTATTGTTCTGTTACTGTAATATCTAATTCTTTATTATCTGATACTTAAATCAGAATATAATTTGGTTACATATAACTTATATCAATGAATATATAATTTTTTAAGCAGAGATATTTGGGCCTAAAGAAGAATTCTTTCATAGAGTATTGAAAAGGGATTTTGTTGAAGGTGAATTTAGAGGCTTATTTGCAAAGGCTCTTCTAACTGCACATCTCCCCCAGAAATTAATTTATAAAATAATTCTACTGACATTTACTCCTTCCTTCCCTCCCCCTTTTACTAAAGAGAAACAATAACTTGTAAAAAGTCACTTGTAAGTTCATTTTGGTTTTTTGTCTTTTACCAAATAGCAACTCTAAGTTGTAAAAATCTTAGTGTTGTATTTTAAAAGGACAGTATTGCCATGTAAAAATTTTGATTAACATAAAGCTTTAGTAGAATCCATTGCAAATGCCAAGCAAGTATATTTTTGCCTCCAGTTCCCAGTTCTAATACTTTTTATCCTCATTTCTCTTTATTGTAGAAGTATAGACCGTGTTGCCTTTTTTTTTGTAGTTGAATACATTTTTTTTATCAAAAGAGCAATTATTGATTGGCCTGATGCACCCCAGCTTCACACATTTCTGTAGATGCTTCCATCAGCTGATTGCCTTAATGACAGACATCTGAATCTTTTTGAATATGGGAATACTCATATTACCCCATATCCTCACTGGTGTTCCTCTTTATTTTATAGATGGGAAAGGAATTTCTCTAAGACTACAATTTAATTCCCTAGTATAATCCCTGATAGAAGGAATTAAGGGGGACAGGTGAACTTTCAAATTGTTCCACAGAATATGAGTTCTGCCAGCTAAATGGAATATTAAAAATTTAGAGCATTCAGCATAAAAACATCTTCTGATCACCTTACATATGGAAATCTCAGAAAAGATTGTGTCACATTATACAGTTAATATGTAAGACATAAACATTGAAGTTGCATGGCATCAGAACCACTTTTAGAATTTTTAGTGCAAACATTATCTCACATGCATTGCATTTTGTTTTAACTTCTGTAATTCAACTATGTATACTTAATGTCCCTTACAGAAGGAAGGGAACATGCCTGGGAGAAATAAAGTTTAAAGAGTATAGGGGAGTTATTCAGCCATTCCTGTCTTTCTGATCATGAATGTGTGTTTCTCAGTGAGAGTTGGAAATTGTTCTTTCAGTTCTTGATTGTGTCTGGTCTTTCTTGCATGGATCAGCTACTTCATCTAGTATTCAGCTGAATGGATAGGTATCTGAACAGTGCTAGAGGAAAACCGGCTGTTTTGGCCTTACTGAACAATAATGCTTTATAGGCTGACTTGAGAGGTATTCAGAGGTAATTTTAATTTTGACTGTGCAATTTTTGCCTTTTATAATGACTTTAGAACCTAATTCTGGAGTAAGATGTGACATTGCTTTACTTTCACATGAATTAAAGATTAACTAGATCAACAGACCTGAAGCAAATGGAAACATTTGAGAACAAATGGCTTTGAAAAATACTGAACATTCAGGGACGCCTGGATGGAGCTGTTGGTTAAGCATCTCAGGGTTGTGGGATCAAGCTCCATGTCAGGCTCTGTGCTCTGTGTTGCATCAGCTTGAGTTTCTCTCTCCCTTTCCCTTTGCTCCTCTCCCTGCTCTCTCTCTCTCAAATAATCTTAAAAAAAAAAAAAAAATTCTGAACATTCAGTAAGATAGGTATAGAGAAATAATTCTTTAATCAACCAGTTTTCTATAAAATGCATAATGTATTTTCCAACTTCTTAAAATTTTGGCCACATAGAACAAATGGGAGGCAAGGAATTGATTTAAGATAGTTGTAGGTAAATTAGCCAAAATGAGGGATTCTAGTGATCTTGATAATAAGTATCTACATTAAGTAAAAAGCTGGTCATTTTAATTAAATCTGGTAGTTAAAAAGGCTTTAATATTAACCTAAAGTTTTAAAAATATACATTCTTGAGGGATTGCCTAGTAGCTAATAAATTACATGTCAGACCCTGTTTAATGCTATTTAATCTCCACAATTGTAGGTGGGTCAATAAACACTGTTCTAGGTGCTTTATATAAACTCATTTGATTCTCAACAGCTCTTTTGAGAGTAAGGACTGTTGTTATGACAACCTTGCAGATGAGAACCTGCATTATAGTCACAATTAAAAAGGCACACAGCTATTAAAGTAGATGAGTCAGGATTCAAATTCAGACTGGCTCCATTTCCTATACTCATAACCTGCTTCCATTCTGATTCTTGATTCTTTCTTAAATTCTTGTGTCACATATAAAGGTTTCACATGCCTGTTCCAGTTTATGGAAAGTTGCTGCTTTGAGGATTCTGAGACTAGGTCACAAAATTTTCTCATTTTTACCAGAGGCTGTTATAAGCGTGAAGTTGGAGAATGGGCATAACCTCATTTCTAACCTTAGATTAGATCATCAGAAAACTAGTTAGTCCTATATTTTAGTACAGGTATCCTCCCCACCATTTGAAAGTTTGCATTATGCCACTTCACTTTTATGAAAGACCTACGTAAGTACCTGTTTTCACTAACAGAAACCTGAATAGGATTTTTGCTTTTATGAAAAAAGGTGAAAAGCAAAAATGGCCTTCAGTGTTTGTTTGGCATGGAGCCCTTATAGAGGCAGCATGTACCCCAAGTAGTGATAGATGCACCACCAAACGCCTTCCCGGAGAACTATACTCAGTATCAAGTTGCCATAGCTTCCAGCTGTGTCTGTGAGTATCTGTGTTTTATTTCAATTTATTTTGTGCATCTGTTAGCAAGATGTGTCATAAGGTATCAGAAAAGCCTAGGAGAGGTTTTTTTGGGGGGGTCTAGGAACACTCAACAATTTTTCTATATAAATTAATGGTAATTGCTCTTTACACCATTTCAGCTTGCAGAAGTTTTCATAGGAATGCTCTGCTTTTAGATAATGGAGGAAACCTGTATCATTCCCTCATGTTTTATCAGTCTTTATAAGATGCAGTTATGTGAAAAATATTTCTTCATCTATAATATTTTTAAATACGTTGTCTTATATAATGTTCAGTGTTCCCTTTATAAGAATTCATATGACAAATTCTTTAAGGATTTAGTTTCAGACAAAAGTTTCCTTATGGGGCGCCTGGGTGGCTCAGTTGGTTAAGCGACTGCCTTCGGCTCAGGTCATGATCCTGGAGTCCCGGGATCGAGTCCCACGTCGGGCTCCCTGCTCAGCAGGGAGTCTGCCTCTCTCTCTGACCCTCCCCCCTCTCATGCTCTCTATCTCATTCTCTCTCTCAAATAAATAAATAAAATCTTAAAAAAAAAAAGTTTCCTTATGATCTGGCACACTTCCTTCTATTAGCCATTGAGAATTATTTAGCCCATTGTGCTTTTTATTTGCTTTGGCTGCAAGGAAGTTTGGAGTTATATTTCATTTTAATTATAGTAACTTTATTAGCATCGGCTTTTGAATGGATAATTTCTTTTCTAGTTCTCTGGGGCAGGAGTTTTTAATCCATTCTCAATGTATCAGCTTCACCCTCTGAAATGATAGGTAAAATGATAGTTTATGTGCACGTGGCAATCTGGGGAAGGATCTTTGGCTTTTACCAAATTTTTAGTGACCTCCACCCTTTGCCTCTAAGGTAAAGAACCATTGTTCTCTGGGTTTACTGTTCATTTTTATATTTTAATGGTCTAATTGTGTAAGGTCTCTTATAAGCTGCTGATACCCTTTTTGGCAATAGTTGGGCAATAAATCATACCTTTACATTTAAATAATGATCCTATTTCTTAAATTTGTCAGAAAGTTAAAAAGCATCCTCTCTCTAATTTTAAAAGCACTCAGACTTGGCAACTTAAAGAAGAGTTGATATTAGAGAGCAGGGCAATGGCAGAGTAGGAGGATCCTGAGCTCACCTCCTCCCGCAGATACACCATGAGGCAACAGTTATATGTAATGCACCTCGTTCTGCAGAAGACCTGAAGACCAGCAGAACAGATCTTCCACAGCTAAAGACATAAAGTGGAAGCCACACTGAGAACGGTAGAAGAAGCAGAGATGTGTTTGGGGGCCAGACCCCCACTGTGGTGACCCACAAAGTGGGAGGGATATCACAGGGACTCTTGGAGGTCCTCCCTGAGATGGTCAGGGATCAAGTCCCACATCAGGTACCCCTGGCCCTAGGGATCTGCATTGGCAAGATGAGCCCTCATAATGTCTCGCTTTAAAATTCAGTGACTTAACCCCAGGATAGCTGGAGGGCTGTAGGAAACCAAGACTTAAAGGGCCGGTGCCCTATATCCCTTAGTGGAGACCCAGCTCAGAAATAGTTTGAAAAGTGCCTGGGTTATATGTGAAGGAGATTTACTAATTTTTGT